GCCCACTTTGTTGTTGGGAAAAGCCAAAGCCGATTAGGATAAACCAATGACTAAGCATAAGTCTTCCAAACTAATTACACAGCTCGCCATGTGAAGTCTAATTGGAAGCCTCTATGGCTCTCACTGGAGTCCTGTAGAGTCAGCATCACCTAGCGAGTAGAGCTGAGCAGAGCTGGACACTGGAGCTGCCCTGGCATCCCAGGAGCAGCTAAGAAGTGGGAAACTTTCTGTTCTATCCAGGACAAGGCAGAGTAGGTCATTCTGCTTCAAGGAAGGCCTCTTTGATCCCAAAGCCCTTGCAAGAATGTAAGTAAGAGAGTGGAACTTGAAGGAAGGACCCAAAGAGAAGTGGAGACAGGAGGAGGCAGAGGAAGAGGAGGAGGTGGAAAAACCTGAGTGTAGGGAGGGCTTCTCCATCTCAAGGCACTTTGGTTAAGAGATGAGCTCTCTGGAGTGGCTCTGCTCCAGCATATCAGAGCATCAGTCATCTGCCAGGTTTGGGAATGGTCTATATACATCATTCCTGTACGTATGAAATCATGAACACAGATAATGTTCACCGAATAACCAAGGCAGTTAAATAAATTACTGGAGATCAGCGTTGCTGACAAATGAATACACCACACCATGCTCCCTGTGCAGAAGAGTCAGCTGACTTCCAAAGCAGAAGGCAGGGTTTTATCCAGAGTGCAGAGGCTAGGTTGTACCCCAAGTGCCCATCCAGGCTTTACCCAGCCTGGGCTGTGTGACCTTAAACAACTTCTTTCTCATCACCCACATAGTGGAGATGCCAAGTGTCTCATGTGACATCCTTGAAAGCACATTTTAAAGTGCATTAAAAGCTTAGCACCAAACACATGAAACTGTAAAGCACAAACAGCAACACACAGTAAAACTCTCTTACCAGTAAAATCTGAATAGCACGAGTTTTGATCATTTAGACCTAGTGCCTGGAACAGGAAGATTGAAAGTAACTTACTCAGTTTTTCTGGGTCTTACTCATAGGATGAAGATTCCAGATTATAAATAGTGCCTTTTTCCAAATAAAGAATGCAATCTCAAATCAAGATGCAGTGCCCCTGCATCACGAAGCCCAGAAATAAACTTTACTGTGTTGAAGACTGTTTTGCTTACTACATACCATGCTGACTACCATGAGCAATGTATTCTTATGTTAGTCTATAAATACACTGGGTTATAATCTATCTACGTATATTTAAACACTCTCTATAGGACTTTCACAGCTTAAAGACCAGCCTTAGGAATAATTCAGTTCAGGGGTCAACAAATCTGGCTCTCTGTTTGTTTTTATAAAGTTTTATTGGAACACAACCACAGCCATCTGTTTACATGCTAGTTGCAGATATTTTCACCCTACAATAGCAGAAGTTATAATAGAGACCATATGGGTTGCAAAGCAATTTACTAGCCTTTACAAATCTGTCACTGGCTTCCCCAGAAGGGAAACTGAGGCAGGAACAAAAGTCTGCCAAGGTGTTGCTGGAGGTCATCCCCATGGTCAGGCCCAGAACGGAAGCTTTGGAATACCGTCTACCTTACCATTCTCCAGGGAAGGCACCAGAAACAGCCACCTAAGTTTATTGAGTTCTGTGTCAACAGCTTCATTTCATGATCACATTTTAATATAAAGAAGTATGAGCATCTTTAATGGGGGGTGGGAGGTCTTCTGAGGGGAAAAAGCAAAAAGGGTTGCTAAGTGTCCACTTTGAGTTATTTAAAGATCTCTCTCCCTCCCTCCCTCCATCTCTCCCTCCCTCCATCTCTCCCTCCCTCCCTCCATCTCTCTCTCTCTCTCTCTCTCTCTCTCTCTCTCTCTCTCTCTCTCTCTCTCTCTCTCTCTCTGTGTGTG